TTGATTGTCATTGCGAATGCCAATCTGATTGGAAATTGAACCCGTTTGAATTCAATTGGGACATCTGTAGTGATAATAGGGATTCGTGGTAGTAAACATCTTCTCCGCRAAACTTGCCATTCAAAATGCTTCATCAATTTTTTAATAACTAATCGCGTGCCATTGCACAGCCTTGGTGGGTTCAAATAACGTAGCAAAATAATAGGAGATCCAACCTTCAGTTGTAAATGGTGTGGTAGCATGCCTGGCAAATCCAATGAGTTCAAAAACTCTGCCGGATAATTTACAATTTCATTGGTATCGCAAACTGTATCGATAGATTTGTATAACACCAAGTTCCATGGCAACAACTGTTGTATCTTGAAATTCAAATCATTGACGTCCACTTGCGACACCGTAGAATGACGTTGTTCTGACCGCGTCTTATCATTATGACATCATACGATACGCATAATAAGCTTTCGAGCTAACGTTCTTCAACAACGGCGGCTGATCGGTCAGTGTGGCCATTGATTAAATATATGAAACAACGATTAAATATAAAAATAAAAATAAAAGTAATAATAATAATTTAATATGTTTGGTAACCAACGGCAACTCTATAAAAAAAAAATTGTCATAGGTTAAAAAAAATCTCTGTATGAGCCACCCTTTAAAATAAAAATAGGGGTGTGAAAAATAATTTACACCACTCTCTGAGACCTACTTAATATACACAACAAATTTTATGAAAATCGGTCCAGCCGTTTCGGAGGAGTTTGGTAACAAACATTGTGACACGAGATTTTTATATATTAGAATATTGATATTATTATTTTATTAAGTACCTACTATTATTCATACATTTTACTTAAACTACTAGCTACTTATTACAACATGTTGTAGAAAATTGGCATTTTGAAGTGCATAAAACATTATTTTTAAGGCAAATTCACATTTTATTTTGACGYTTGGTCTTACAAACACATTTTAAAAATCCTTAGCCAGTTCCGGTCGACTGTTCGTAAAGCTACTTCTGCGTCTGTTGGAACTTCGTCAATTTGTAGTAGCTTTTCTGACATACTGTGAACTGACTTCTGGCGTATAACTGCTTCAGAACTCCATATCGAGTTTCAAATCAATAAAAACCATCACTTGTCACCTAAACTAAATAAAATTTCTTACTTATTAAGATTTAACACATCATTTTTAAACTTATTTATTACCTCTAAAACACCACGATGAGACACGAAAATGACGATAATGTAATAAAATTATACGCACTTCAATATAGTTCCTCAGAATTATTATTATTGTGGGATAATCTTTAATGTTTAATCTTTATTGCGTCAAATCGTGCACACACGGACAAMGGACAACATACATATTTTTTTCTTTTTGAACTATCACCACTTTTACCCTGATTCATAAATTTCGAATAATGGTCTCTAATATGTCTCCATTTGGCTTTCAGTTCAGTCACTATAATTATATTAATTTATAATATTATAAATAATTAATCAAATCAGTATAAAATTGAATATTTACGTGGAGCCTTGTTTAAAATTTTTCATCCTTAGATAAAAATGTTGAACATTTTATAAATTTTTAACTACAAAATAATATTTAAATTTTAAATTTTATAATTTTTTTCAAAATTCCAAGTTTAAATGCTTAAAAAAAACCGTGAGTATGTATTTTTAATATTTTTCGACTGCTATTGTAAAAAATATGTTGGAAGCCTTGTATTAAATTTTCAAATCTTAGATTTAAAAGGAAAATTTTTTATGAATTTCTAGCTTAAAATAATTTGCGAATTTTCGTGATTTTACGTATTTTGTCAAAATTCAAACTTTGAATGCTTATAAAAAAAATTGTGACTGGATTTATTTTATTTCTCAACTGCTATTGTAACAATATGTTAGGAGCCTTGTAAAATATTTTAAAGATTTTCTACCCAAAAATAAAATTTTGATCGATATTAATTTAATAAAAACTANATGCCACGT